TGGGCTACTGGTTTATTGAGGCGACACCTACATGTATGGATGACTGCATGTACGTGCAGTTGACTGCACTAAATAAGTAGTTCCATGGAAAATCTTTCTAATTGCTATGCCTGCTTAAACCCCACTAAAATGCTAGAACTGTGGACAACAGAACTTTATGTACAGTGGGCATTTGTTTCAAAACAAGAACTCTAGAAGAAGCATTCCTACATGTATATGACACATGAAAGCAAAATCGAATCACTTTTTCTATTCAAAGGGGGTACATCATTTTTATGCAAGAAGAAAGCCTGAATATTAAAATCCTGTGACTTAGTTGACAGGTAAAGCTTCCGATTTAGCAAATAAAACTGAAATCAAAACAACAATCATCCTCACACATGAATCATGCATAAATCCTCCAAATAACAAATGAAATAGTTAAATGTTCACTTTTACAGAGATTTTGGTGAGAAGTCCAATAAACAGTGGTTTATTTTCTACCAAAGAAATTCAAAATGTTTAAGAATTACTCAACTTGTCACATTCAGAAGAATAGTTTAATTTACCTTCAAAGAAAGAAAATTTACCTGATGTCTTTCAGGTGGAAATTAAGCTATTTTTTTACTGTATTTTGTAAATGCTGTTACTTGTTATTCACTTAGCTGAGAGCAGAAAAGAAAACACCAAGTTACAGGCAGGGTTGGTAAAGTTGTGTCATCAACCTTACGGCATTCCTTTCCAGAAATGCTCCTGTAAGCCAACAGTGGTACTAGTGCAAGTATGCCAAAAACTTGGCTGCACTTGGCTTAAGACACAATGACCCACTTCAGTCAACACATTTGGTCACATACAGGTACCTACATGTACCTGAAACAATCCTACAATATTGTTTGTTAACACATTTTATGCAGCCATCACTGAACTAAGCGATACTGAAAAACAGTGTTGTTCATCATGCCATTTTTTCCCAACTCAAGTTTCAAATCACAAGTAAATTTTCCTGAAGTCAAGTTTTGCCAAGTCAATTGTTGATTATTGTATTCATGAATCAAAATTCACAAATACATGTACATCTGCTTTGCGCAAGAAGAACGCATGTGTAGACGTGTACATACAATATACATGTATCATGACTGGTATGTACACACAAGTACACAACACAGGGAAACGTGTACATACATGTGCTACATTGCACATGTATATCAGTATGGTTTCTTTCCCTGCTGTGGTATTAAATTTGTAGCAGTAGAGATCGCACCAGACTACTGTGTGTGTTTTCCACCATGCCGCTAGCCAACCTTGACTCCATGGGCTGCATGATCGTGCAGGGCATTGTGGGAATCAACACAGCAATGGCAAAATTGTCGGAATTGTGGGGACTGGTATCCAAAGCAACATAAATGTTTGTTACACGAATACGTTGCACCTGTTTTTGTCACATGATGTATGGCCACAGAGAATGCAGATGTAAACGGATCGTCAAGGGATGAGAGGTGAAGGTGGTAGAAAAAAACCTCATTTTTTGCCAATAATACGGGTTAAACTATGCTACAAAATACATGCCTAGTCTAGTAGGGTCTTTAGGAGAAGATTTCCTTCAGAAAGTGCAAATGGAGGTTTCATCTGGTACTCCAACTGGGCAACTTTCGAAA